CTCTCCGGCACAAGCCCCAGTGACCCTGTGAAGGAATGGCGAAAAGTTGACAGTCAGGTTCAGTGCAGCAAGCGGAATCACAAGCTCAGCCGATTTTCCCCGAGGCGTTCTCAAATGCCGGCAAGTGCAGAGGACGCGACGAGGACATGCATCCAGCTAGAGTTAAACACCAATCCCCAAGAGTGACACCTCCTTCACAGCTGTGCTTGTGTCTTTTCGCCCTACAGGTGATAGCATCAGTGGAAGTGTCATTGAGGCTATGGGGAGAATTGGAGAATTGCACAGTCCTTTACAGTAAAGCCTTGCTCGGTACTGGTTTGAGTTCAACTGTTCTTTGATGTGCCCTGCAATGCGGGCTTGTCCTAGCGAGGTGGGAGGCAAGAACAGAGTACTTCAGTGGTTCGGTGCCACTTCGCGTCAAAGTGTGGCTTCAATTTCGTGTTGGTGCGCCTCGTTTGGTTCACTTGTCGTACTTGCTGCAGGAGTGGGCCGTCTGCGATGACCTCCCCAGACAGACACTTACCTTTGGCCAAGTGTGTAGAGCATGCCTCAATTGAAAGAAATTCAGAAGTCGTTTCGACCTCGGGTTCGAGGCTCAAATTGATGGCTTGCCTGCTGACCCATGATTTGCACGTGAGGCTGTGCCGCATCCTGCACGCCACAGGCCTGTGAGACTCACGTCGACAGAGCTCCCAGACCCAAAGGTTTCCAGATTTTGTACAAAGCCCCCCCCCCCCCCCGGCCTTAGCTGAATTCAGCCAGGACTGCATCTTCGGGGCGTGGATGGATTGGTTTCCGCGGCACTCTCAGCCGTCACCATGCAATGAAGTCCACCCCTCCCAGCAATGCAGCAGATGCCGTTTGGTCAGCAAGGCTGGGTGGATGCACAGGCTTGTGCCAGCGGAAGCGCCGCTCCGACCAAATGAGACCGGATGGGGGCATGAGACGTTTTGAGAACACATGGAAGCTGACGGTGCGTTGCTGGAATTTATCTTTGGCAACGAGTGCCTTCTGATTGTTGCTTCGTAGCTCTGAGACATCATGTGCTCGGCGTCCCGTCTCGTCATCTTCAGAAGGTGCCCTTTAGCATGCGAAGGTATGAAGGCGCAGACCAACAACGAGCCCAGAGCCCGGCTGTGTGATGAGTCACCCTCTGCACCAGACCACAGAACGGATGTTTTTAGAGAACAGGCTGTCAGTGATTTAGGATGTCTTTAAGTCTTTCGTGCACTTCATGCAGCTCGTTCGAGGTGTGGGCAGCCATGCACTGGATCACTTCTGCAAACAATTAGCAGGACGGGCGGAAAAAGACTGTCAGATGGTCCGGAACAGAATTGTGGAAAGTCTGCAGGAGAGAGTGCTATCCCAACTACGATGACTGCGTGCTGGAGAATCGCGACTGCCAGTGGACCGTGAAGGCCTTAAGCTTCAGAGGCCTGCTTTCTTGCTGTTGCACACTTCAGGAGTTCATGAACTGAGCGTTCTGGCGAAAAGGCCTGGAGTTCCTGGTCAAGCTCCTGCTTCAGCGTGCATGGCGCATCGTCCGGCACCTGGACATGGCACCGATCTTGCCTCGTTTGAGCCGGGCCTATCACTCCGGAGCCTGGGCGTTCCAGGTTGCGCCAAAACCAGCGCCATCGAACTCGCCATGCTTCGATCTCAGTATACAAGTAATGGGCTCTCTGGCCTACATCTCATGCTTCACAAAGCACAGAAATGTCCACAGGTCCAACTGCAGGCTCTTCACAACGGAGAGCAATGTGTCTCCCCCGGGTTTGCGCAATGGTCGTAGTTTGCAGCAGGCCACACATTGCATGCTCAGTTTGATTCCTCAGGATTTGATGCGTCATGCAGGGGTTGAATTGAAGAGCAAATAACAAAGCCAGAAGCTGCGTGCGAAGTGTTCCGGTGGGGCGACAGTTTCATCCTTCGGCCAAGGCTTTGGAATATTACTTCAGGTTTTGATTGCAGTCAGGTGCTGGACCCTACAATCAGACGGAGCCCTGTGTGGTCGTGGCCTTTCCTCTTTCCTGGCTTTCCTGCAAGATGCCCACCTTTCGGAATTCAGCCGAGGCCGAGAGCTTCGAAGCCCAAGACTGTCTTTTGACCCAGTGGCAAGAATGGACCGAGCACCAGCACTGCCTACTCTCTCGGTGTAGGCCCAAAGAATCTGCCACTGCCAGTCTGCCATGCCAGGACACAGTGCAGCCGGAGCTGCGATGGGGGCTGGCAGGCTTTGTGTTTCCTCTCAGCTGTTGCGGGTGAGGATAGCACAGGAATGCCTGAGTAAGGTCCTTCAGCAGCACGTTTTTTTTGCCTCGCCCCCGCAGGCACGCTTGCGCCGGGTACGGCAGTTCGCCGCCAATGGCGGTGCCACATGCGACATGCAGACCCTCCGTTTCCGACTCAGCGGTTGAATTCGATGAGTTGCTGCTCACCGCTCTCCAGAAGTCCAAGTGAAGTGGCTCAAGGCGAGCAGCAGCAGTGCAACCTCGAGCCCTGCGGCAGCTGGGGTCCGGGATCGCGCGCTGCATGTAGGCCCAGCGCTGTCTTGCGTCAGCCTTTGTGTTGCGAAGCAAGGTCAAAGCTGCGTCCTAAGTGAATGGGGAGTGCGGCTCTTAAACCAGATGGGAGGCATTGCTTTTTTTTGGAGCGTGGGGACATGCATGCTGGGACTACCGAAGGCCTGGCAAGGTTGTGACATTTTGTCCCCAGCACAGGACTATTCGGTGAGTCTTTTGGCCACCATCCCTGATTGCTTGCAAGCATGAACGTGTAGCCAGATTCTGTTTTTTTTGGTGTGACCCGCAGGAGTATCGAAGCTGCGTGCTCAGCGTTTGCAAACCTAGCGGACCTATCCAGAAATCGCTGCAGTCTGAGATCTCGTTGCGATTAGGTCGTGTCCTTCTTCAGCCAGCCTCGCGGTCGGTGCCCTGCACGGCGGCCCAATGGAGCGTTAAGACATGGCAGGGCATTCGACGAGAGGTGACGGGTAATTCTGATGTATCGTGTTTCGTTCATAGAAGAACGTGTCGGCGGCTTCACGCACAGCAACCCTCGCTCGTGTTCTCTGCATGCCAGTGACCTTGCAAAGGCAACCAGATCCTGCGGGAGACTCGTGGCTGCCCGATGAACGATCAGGTGCGGGTCAGCTATGCTACGGCTGACATGTGATGCTTACCGACTGTACAAGTACAGTCGCTTCAGCCCACCGTAACATGACTGCAACAGGAGCCGCAGGAATGCATTCTGGCGGGTTGGTGCAGCTCCTAGAGGGCTTCATTGCTCCCGCTCTCGAAGAAGCACCTGAAACCTAGATGTCATGAATCGCTAGCGTTCAATAGCCCAAAGACAGAAGAGACCTAAGAGAAGCCCCATTGACTGTGTCAGCCCGTGCACTGCAGGTCGGAATGGTCGCCATGCAGTGCTAGTTGTGCTGGTCAATCCCAAAGGCGGGCCGGGTTGACTTGCAGCTGAGCTCGGCTCTTCTTGCCTTGTTGTGCGTCCTTTGGTGCCACGTCGCCATCACTTGCAAGAGCTTCTATGATTTCGATGTGTACGTTTTGCCTTACCTTCAACTGCGTCTGCATCCACGGCTTGAGCCACAGAACTGTGCAGTAGATAAACTGCGCGAGGTTTAGGAACTCCTCGCATCTCGAGCGACTGTCGCGAGAGAATGCGGGAGATACGCGACCCAGCAGACGAACGATTGTCCGACGCCTATCCAGGACACGCCAGCTGCCCTCTGACCAGACGAGTTGCTTTATGGCAGTTCCGGAAGGCCTTGTACAGCCTGTTGCGCCTGATTGCCCCCAGAAGCTCAGCAACCGTTTGGTCTTGGGGTGTTCTACAAGGTAGGATCGGCCAGGCCAGACAGTTCACGAAGTGCGCGCCTGTGGAGCTCGCAGCCAAGACCAGACTGCAGGTGGACGTAGACGGCCTGTTGGACTTAGCATGTGCAATGCTGGGAAGAGCGCCTCAATGACTCAAGCAGAAAGTGAAGAAGCCGACATCGGCGAAAGCGGCTGAAGCCAAGAGCAAGTTCAAGCAGACATCTCCTGCACGGTCAAACTGATGGGGGAGAAAGTGCCCTGCGATGCAAGTCGACAGAAACAGAACACGAACGCTGCAGAAGTGTTGCAAATCTGGGAAGACGAGTGAGTTCGAAGTCGATGCATGGCGGCAGCGAGCCACTGCTCTTTCCAGGTCCAACAATGTGAGCAGGAAACCTGCACACTCTCCTCCTGGACCACGTGGCGCAGACCTGATACTTCTGCTGTTCCTGGACTCATGCTGTGCTGCAGCTGCAGGTCGCAGTGTAGCCAGCCGTGTGGCCTCGGCCCTGGCTTCTTTTTGAAATCCGCTTGAACGAACTTCCCTTAGAATCAGGTGATGGGATCCATTCTCGAAGCCGCGAGGCCCAGCGCTGCGACGAGGAACCCAGCTTGCTGCTGCCGGATGCCCATACGCCAGGTCGTCTCGACGTCATACCACTCGGTCTGCAGTGAAGCGCTGGAGGAGGCAGCATCGATGAATCTGAAGTTTTGCTGAGTCTTAATTCAGCGAGTGTCCAGGTGAGGCCTTGCCACATCCGAGAGTGCATTGCGGTGGACTGTGCAAACTGGCCAAGTTTGCCGAGTCGCGGTTCTCTGTGGCTCTCAAACCACTTTCCGATGAAGCAATTGCTTGCAGGGTAAGGTAGGTTCTCGTCCTGGCAGCAAGGAAGATTAGAATCCACAGGTTTCTCCAGCTGCCTAAGTGATCGGAGACAGTGGCACGTTTGAGTTTGAGCCGAGATGGCAGGTTTGGGCCGACTGGGATCACTGGAGTGTCAGCAACCAAGCTCTCAGACGAGTCGGCAGAAGCTCCAACGACGTAGGCACGCTGAACAGAGTTCTGCCCAGGCCTGCAGCTGTACCTGCGGGGGCGGTACGAAGCGACGGAATCGAGTCATTCAGCAATCGTTCGGGGCTTTGTCCAAGTGCAGAGAGCCAGCTGGTGCACTGATTTTTGCGGCAGGCCACGACATGGGGGTAAGCTCTGCGAGCCCAAGGTCCTTCGTAGATTCGTTTCTGTCATCCTCGTGGTCTCGCGCACTGTGAGTGACCGTTTGCAGGACAAGGGTGAGATCGCGCCGTGCGCAACGCAAACCTGCGACATTTGCGTGGACGGCAGGTCGGGCCAAGGGTGGCGCGGTTGCCACAAGCGCGTTTGTTTGTCAGTGCCGAAGCGATTCTTTCTTCTCAGCAGCAGGAGAAGCGAACACGGGCAGTACTCAGTACTAGCAGCAGCCAGCTTCCGCTTAAGAGGAACATCTTTACCGTCTTAGCAAAATTTCGCCCTTAATGTGAGGTCTAGTCTTGGACCTTGGATGTCTTTCTCTGGTCTGGCGCTGGCAGCAGGGGGTCTGTTCTGCCCACCGGTGCCAGTTTCCGAGAGGCCCGCGAGACGATTGCAAGCGATTGAGGCGTAATCCTTTATTATTATTATTATTATCATCATGATTATTATTATTGTTAGTATTTGTATTATTACTATTACTATTACTATTACTATTACTATTACTATTACTATTACTATTACTATTACTATTACTATTACTATTATTATTGTTATTATCATTCGTATTACTATTATTGTGATTACTACTATGATTATTACTAGTATTATCATTATTATCTTTGTTGCCGCATCACGGTCGAAGGTGCCAGCACAACTATGGCATCAAGTGGGTCCGCACGTACGTCCTCCCGCAAGAGCAGGCGATCCGTTTCAATTTTCAATCAAGGGGCGGCCTAGCCTTGCAGAAGACGATAGGAAAATGCCAGGATCTGGATTTCAGTTCACTCGAAAGTTGTATGGAGCTATCCAGATCTGCAGGTGGAGCTTTGCTGCAAAACGGGTTGGAGTAGAAGCACGACAGCCGACATGGGCCGGCTTAGGAGGGGCATTGCATGGGGAAGGGGCCAAGGCAAACCAATGCAGGATTCGCCGGGGGATCTCTAGTTGAATGGGAATTCAGAAACAATCGCCGACAGACAAGACGTACAAACAAAGAGAGAAAGACATGTCTCTCTGTGATGAGGGGGCACTCACCTAACTTTCCTAGAACCTAAGAGTGGTGTGCCTGCAGCAGGCGGCTTGCGAGGCCGGTGATTAGAGCACGTTTTTCTTTCCCCCGCCCCGACTGGGCCACCTCTCCGGAGGCACTCCTCATACAGCCGAGCCGGTCTGCAGACAAGGGATGCGGTTGCTCTGACGAGCAGGCCACAACGGATCACACATGCTGCCGGAGAAAACCCGAAGAGTCCACAGTCTCAGCACGTGCGCGACCACGCCTCAGGGGTCCGAGAGCTAGGTGAGTGTCGCAGAAGAAGATCAACGAAGCCACTGCCGTGATGCCTTGCACCTGTCGCACCGCCGGAACGTGCCAGAGGAGCTGTACTACCAGCAGTTCAACAACGGCGCATTTCGCACGGCCGAGGCACTGAGGGAGCAGGTCATCGATGCAGCGGTCGACGAGGTTCGACAATCGCATTGAGTATTAGGAGTAAATGCAAAGGCAATTAGTTGACATGGATTTGGAGAGCGTTTGCGATTTTTCTTGCCTCACAAGTTTGAGATGGCACATTTGCTGGGAGTTTGCTGGGATGGTGCAGTTCCTTCACGCCGAAGAGGTTCTGGGCCTTCTCCGCCAGCCGCTCGCAGAGGCACGATCTTTTTACACAAGTTTGCATAAGCAGGTAAACAAGCAGCAACCAGATTGTAACGCATAGCCAAAATAATTAGAAACTGAAGCACATAGATATAAAGTGAACGTCGGTAGAAGTTTAAAGAACAGGATTAATCAAGCAAGTAAGTATCAAACAAAAGAACAACTGCATGTGCAAACAAACTAGTGCATACACATAGCATGGACACACTTGCGCTTTTGTCATTTGTTCCTCTCTCGCTCTCTTTTTTCGTCAATTTGTGGTGTGGTCGCTCTTCCTGTAAATCTATGCACCCGTCTACATGTTTGTCTGCCTGTCTGCCTAGTGAGTCCGCTATCAACCTACATATCTATCTGTTTATTCAGCCATCCTATCTATGGATTTGTCTGTCTGACTGACTAGCCATTTGACTATCAAACTATAGTTATTCTGAATAACTATCTAAGTGCTAGAGCCTTCGAAATCCAACGTAGCCAAAGCACCACCTGCCCTGCGGAGTTTCGGATACTGCCATGCGGGAGCCAAAAAAGTTGTGCTTGCTATCTGATCATCGAACGAGCCAGCCATCTAGACGTCTAAGCAGTTAACCATTTGATTCTCGAACTCTCTCTATCTGTTTATTTGTCCATCCATCCATCCATCTATCTCTCTACTTACCTACCTACCTACCTACTTGCCTGCCTACCTCCCTCCTCACTCACTCACCTTCCTTCCTTCCCTGCCTACCTACTTACCTACCTACTTACCTACCCCTCCCTACCTACCTACCTACCTACCTACCTACCCACCTACCTACCTACCTACCTACCTACCTACCTACCTACCTACCTACCTACCTACCTACCTACCTACCACCCCCTACCTACCTTCCTTCCTTCCTACCTACCTACCTACCTACCTACCTACCTACCTACCTACCTACCTACCTACCTACCTACCACCCACCAGACAGCCTGCCTGCCTGCCTGCTTACCTACCCACCTACCTACCCACCTGCCTGCCTGCCTACCTACCTACCTACCCACCCACCCACCCACCGAC